CTTAAGAACAGAATTTATTAACACTATCAGTCCACAGCTCCAAGAAAAATTAAGATTATTGATCGCTTAAATATAAATTACAATTATCTGGAATTACAATTTTGGTTTTTTTTTCTGATTAACTCTAGGAATTAGTTAACCTAAAAGAACTCAAAAGCAGTCTCCTGCGATGGCGTTACTTGAGTTGTCACGCAACACTTCTTCCCGGAGTGTTGCGCGACGATACAAATTACGCCTATGAAGGAAGCTTCTTTTTGGGAAATTTTAATCTTAGCTACTAAACATATAGGTACATTTTCCGTGATCAAAGTTCAAAGCGTGGGCCAATTGTTCATTTTGACTTCCAAAACGTTTAACTAACCTCGTAAACATTTTTTGTAACCAAGCATAGTTTGATAGAAATTTTGTACGCCTATTGTTTATCTTGTCTTCTTTAAATTACTTAATCTTAGGCCAATTGCTCATTTTGATTTCAAAAACCTGAGATTTACGGTGGAAACTTTATTATTTTACGAAGTACATAACTGTAAGCTAATTATCATTAGTATCATCCAACTAGTGGACTAATGCAAATCCTGCATTTTAATTGGCTACGCTANTTTCGTTTTATTCCCAAATAAATATTTCTTCAACTTGCATGTGCTAACTTTATTATTGCCTTTTCTGTCCGACTAGTTGGGTGATACTAAAACAATTAGACCCTTCGCCCTCAAGGGCCACGGGTCAATAGTCCATGAGGCGAAGCCTCATGGGCTATTGACCCGTAGCCCTTGCGGACTACGGGTCTAATTGTTAAATATTGCATTCCAAAACTGTAAATTCAACTTCTAAAACCAAGCATATATTTCGGTTTTTTTTTTTTTAATTTCGTAGGTCAATTGTTTATCTTTACGCCTTAAACAAACTAAACCTAGGAAACGTTTCTCATCGTTTTTTTTCTAATACTTGCTCAACTTCGTTGTTATCCTCGGGGATGCAGCGGCAGTTAATTGTGACGAGACGGAGTAAACCGAGCGGTAAAACCTTTCGTCGGGTCGGTTTTGCCGCTCGGTTTACGTCGACTCTTCCGACTAACTGCCCGAAGTTTCCGAAGATCCTTCGTTGTTTAATGTTATTCAAAGCCAAGATTAGCAATAACAAAAGCACAAATAGATTTCAAAATTCCACCGTGTCTGCTTTTTTTTTTTAGACGATTTAGCTGTGAATATTTAATAAGGTTACTATGAATATTTAAACTACGATTCTTTCGGAAAATATTTGGATTTTTTGTACAAATTAGACTCGATCGATTTTAAATAACTGAAATTAAATATCAAAACAAAGTTAACGCAATTCT